TCCATTTTGCCACACTCCATTTTAAATGACCCCTGGCCCAGTGCAAATGTCTGAGCTTGTGGAGCTTGCTTAGAAATGGCTTCCTTTTTGCACTGTAGAGTTACAGCTGGCTACGGCGGATGTCACGGTTGATTGTGTTCACTGATGATGCTTTCTGGAAGTATTCCTGAGCCCATTCTGTTATTTCCTTGACAGTGGCATTCCTGTTTGAGGTGCAGTGACGTTTAAGGGCCCGGAGATCACGAGCATCCAGTAGAGTTTTACGGCCTTGACCCTTACGCACAGCGATTGTTCCAGATTCTCTGAATCTTTTGATGATGTTATGCACGGTTGATGATGATGATAACTTAAAAGTCTTTGCTATTTTACGCTGGGTAACACCATTCTCTTTCTGCTCAACAATGGTGGAATTGGTGATCCTCTCACCATCTTGGCTTCTGAGAGACACTGACACTCTGAGAAGCTCTTTTTATACCCAATCATGTTGTCAATTGACCTAATTAGTGTTAATTGGTCTTCCAGCTGTTCGTTATATGCTCAATTTCCTTTTTTCAGCCACTTATTGTTACTTGTCCCAACTATTTTGGGATTTGTTGACACTGTGAAATTTTGAATCAACATATTTTTCCTTTAAAATGTTACATTTATTCAGATTAAACTTTTGATCTGTCATCTATGTTATATTACGAATAAAATATTGACATTTGCCATCTCCACATCATTGCATTCAGTTTTTATTCACTATTTGTTTAGTGTCCCAACTTTTTTAGAATCTGGTTTGTACCTTTGTGGTGTTTTTGAACTTCTATGTGCACAAACGTTTCCATTAGATCTAAACTCAAGTATCACGTGGATCCTGGTGAGCTCTGAACTAACAAGTTGAGTCACATTAGAGGATGTTCATGGTGAGACGTAATGTGTCACTTCCTGTTTTCTCTGCTGGTAGCCTGAGTAATTTATTTGCTTGAGGAGTCTGTTTTTCTGGATTTATCCATCTTTAGCACAGTTCTTTATTCTAGTACACAAACACTCTCAGTACAGTTGTTTTTCTACTGTTGGATAGTGCTTAAAACACCTCTAATCTTTCAACACTTTTTGGTTTTGATTGGTGTATTTGGGATCTGCTAGCTCTTGCTAGCTTTAGCTTAGCTCTCCCAGCTTCTTGTTTTCACTTGCTCCGTGTGTCAGATGTTTTGTTATTCCTCTGCCTCCTTTAGTGGTAATGATACATGTAACAAATGTAGTCTTATGGTAGCTTTGGAGGGAGAGGCTGTCTGAACTGGAAGCTCAGCTCCGTGCAGTAGAAAAACCATTAGCTAGCCAGGTCCCCTAAGGCAGCGTAAAACCACTGAGGCTAGCTCCCGTTAGCGGTCCTCCAGCAGCCGGAATCCGAGGCCGGCAGGAGGGCAGTCTGGAGTAAGCGTAGTACTAAAGCTAAGCCCCCAGGGAGGGATGAGCATATGTAAGAAGTCTTGTCCTTACCTGCATGGAGCACTCCATGACAGAGACGGCAGTAATGGCATCCTCTATGGTTACTGTCTCCCTGAACATTAGTCTGGCGTGAGCTAGAAGGTAAAAAAAAAAAAAAAAAATCACTTCAGTTTAAACACACACTTTCAGCTCACGTTTAATTCTACATGTTTAACTTTGATGAGCCTAAATGTTAAAGCTGGAGTTGTTTCAGCTGTATGACGTTTAAATCGCAGCTCCTACAAATCTAACAGGAAAAACTCTGAGAATTCAGACACAGAAAGACTAATGCAGACAATAACGTTTTTGCCAGTGTCTGGTAATAAAATACTTGTAAAATATTTGCAGAAAGTAATTCTTACATGTACAACTGGTTAAACTTTAGAGTCAACCCTATAAAGATGGCTGCCACACCCAATTCATCTTAAAAAAGACAAAAACAGACTGAACTGTTGGTGTGGTACTAACTCAAACTGATCACCACCAAATACTCTGCGCGCTAAGAAATTACGCATAATTTGTTTAAAATGTTGACATTGACTCTTTGCAGTCACCTGTTTGTCTGTTAGCAAAATATTTATTATTACACATATAAACATATACGTATAAATATACATCCCCACCTTCAGCCAGTCTGCTCAGACTCTCCAGCATGCGAATAGTTGTTCTGGCAGCGTTACGATCATCACGCTGTCGCTGCAGCTGATAATAACGAGTCAGGATCCATTTGGCCTGCTCGGACACCTGCGGCTGCAACCTTTTGATCACACTGAAATAAGCCTTCATCTTCTCCATGGACCAGAGGGCAGAAGACTCAACAGGTGGCTCTACAGACAGAAACAGAACGTTTCCCATCATCATGGAGTACTCCAGTTTCCTCCCACAGACCAAAAACATGCGTGTTAGGCTGATTGGTAACTCTAAATTGTCCCTAGGTGTGAGTGAGAGAGTGAATGGTCGTTTGTCTCGTTGGTCTCTATGTGTCCCTGTGATGGACTTGTGACCCGTCCAGGGTGTCCCCCCACCCCTCGCACAGTGATTGCTGGACATGGGCACCGGTGACCCCCGTGACCCAAAATGGAATAAGCGGGTAAAGATAATGGATGGATGGAATTTCCAGATAATCCATATTTATAAGGGTTGGAGAGTTGTGAAGCAAATGCAGCTATAATACACAATCCTAATCTAAAAAAGTTGGAATGTTGTTTAACTAAAAATAAAAACAGAAGGCAGTGATTTGTAGGTAAGCACTGAAACAGACTCCAGCATCAGAGAAGTTTTCTGATACTGTGTGTACTTATACTTTTAAAAAAGTGTTTTGATTAGGGATGCGCCAATCCACTTTTTTTTTTTACTTCCGATCCCATCCCGATACCTAAATCTGGATATCGGTCGATACCGATTCCGTTCCGATATCATCATCAATATTGATTTTATGAGGCTGTAATAATCTCCTCTCAAGTACAAGTTGTACAAATCTGTGCATGCATGTCCAAAAAGGCAACTTGAGGTAAGTTTTATTAATGTTGGCTAAATTTCAAAGTTAGAATTAAATTCTACTAACACAAAATTTGTTTTTTTATTCCTAGCGTTACCGTGGATATTAAAGTGATTAATTTCAGTGATTGTTTGTTTAAAGTTTTTTTTTTTTTTTTTTTAAACAAGGGGGAGATTTAAGAATTTTTTTCTTCCTTCTGCACTCTTTTCATCAAAGTTTTCTTTTTGATGAATTTGTTTAGTTTAATTTGTTTCTTTTAAATGAATAAATAAATGAATTAAAAAATATATTAAATGGCTTTAAACTTCAGCTAAGTTCGTGGCATAAACCAACACAGACATGTTCCTGTTTGTAGTATTTTACATCACTTTATAATGTAGCCGTTTTTGTATCGTTTATATATATATATATATATATATATATATATATATATATATATATAT